GGGAAAGTATAAAAAATACCAGTAGCCTTCAAAAATGGCGATTTAGAGCTGGCCTCATGGATCAGTGGAAAGGTGCCTGCCATCAAACCTGATTATCTCGGACCCCTGTGTTAAAGAGAAAGAACATCTCCTACAAGTTGTCTTCATCCATACACATAATAAATAAATGTAATTTTTAAGGAAATTTTTTAATGTCAGAGTAATATAAAACAAAGAAAGCTGAGAAAGAGTCATAGGTTAGAGGAGACCAAGGACATGAGCAAAAAATCTTGGATTGCATCCTGGAACAGAAAAGGAAAGTTAGAGGGATGATTGAACTCCAAATAAAAGTTAGAAGCTAGTTAATAGCTTCACATTCATATTCTCTGAACTGAGAGCTATGGAGAAGGCTCAATCTGTAATGTCCTTGCTGCTCAGACACAGAGACCTGAGTTCAGTCCTCAGTGCCTACATAAGAGCCAGGCATGGTATCAACCTCCAAGCACACCCATACACACACACATTTACACACAGACACATGGCTGCAGGGGAGGATGGAAGGCATTAAAAAAAAAAAAACCCAGTAAAACAAACAAAGCAAAATGAATGACAGACTCAGCTTCTAGAAAGTTTGAACAGAGGGGACAAAACCCTGCAAGGGCTAAAACCCAGAGGGTGTTACAGAATCAGGCATTGTGTTGGATCCAAGCTTTAGGGTTCCTAATCTTCAGTGTCTTTCATGCATGGGCACTAATGTTCTCTGAGCCTCAAATCCCATGTCTTAAAGTAGGGCTGCCAAGGACGGCATCCCAGCAAATAGAAATTGGTAAACTAAATTATCTATATGCAAAACAATTAAATCATGAATTTTCTCCTGATGTTATAAAAAAAAAACTAGCTTAAATGGGTTTCAAGTCTAAATGTAAAATGAAAAAATGAAAAACAGTAGGACCTTTAACAGAAAACATAAGAGAATGGTCTCCTCCTGACATCATATTCGGCAGTGATTTTTTTTTAAAGATTTATTTGTTTGGAAAGATGCTCAGTGGTTAAGAGCACTGACTGTTCTTCTGGAGGACCCAGGTTCAATTCCCAGCACCCACGTGGCAGCTCACAACTAACTGTAACTCCAGGATCCAACACTTTCACACAGACATACATGCAGGCAAACAGCAATGCAAATAAAATTTAAAAAAAGAAAAGACTTATTTCTTCAATTAATTTTATGTATTTGTATGTGTGTCTGCAGTATATATTTATAGCACATGTGTTCAGGTGACTGAAGAGGCCAGCATAAATCACCAGATCCCCTGGATATGGAGATACAGGGGTTGTGAGCCACTCAATGCAGGCGCTAGGAACTGAACCCAGATCAGGTAGAAAAGTAGCAAGTAATCTTAACTGTTGAGCCATCTCATCCCTTGTCAATAATTTCTTGAATGTGACACCAAAAATACATTCAGGAAAAAGAAAAAAGAAAAAAAATAAAAGTCATACTTTTCTGAAACTGTTGGAGCTGAAATGCAACTCGGTGGTAGAGCACATGTTGAGATTGTACAAGGTCCTGGGTTTAATCACCAACACTAACAAAGATAGGTAGGTAATTAGATAATAGATAGATAAATGACAGATAGATAGACAGACAGACAGATAGATGATAGACAGACAGATAGGTAGATGATAGATGACAGATAGATGATAGATAGATAGATAGATAGATAGATAGACAGATAGACAGATGCATTTGTGCACCAACACTGTTATGTTTCAGCAATAGAAAAGCAAGGTATTTATAGTATCCACAATATACCTATGCCAGGGCAGAGATTGTGGGAAGAGAAGAAAAGCCATATGTGAGAGGTAAAGATTATTGAAACTTTATATGAATTGTGGCTGAACAAAGCAGGTAGGCAGCATCCTGTGACAATGGGCCAGACAGAAAACTACCCTGGAGTTCCAGCAGGCTCTATGGACTGTAAAGGTGCAATGGAGAACAGCTAGACCAAGAGCACACTCACAGTCTGATGACAGTGAGCCAGCCTTATCTTCATAGAATCTTGCTCCACCCTGCTTACTACAAGGACAAGAGTTTGTAAGTTAGACTATTCACACAGTGACATCACTAACTCGGTATGCCATAGTTAGCATAGCTGACTTAGTATACATGCAGGAAGCATGTTCTCTTCTAGATAACACCAGTTTGTCCCAACTGCATTGCTCATGAAAGGGAGTCCGTGGTCTTCCAGACAGTCCTTATTGAAATGTCCTGGCCTCTCTAAGTCGTATTTCATTGTTTCCTTGATTTGGTGGGAGTCTTGGAAATGAACGGATGTTTCAAGGACATACTGATGCTCTCCTTTTCTCCAGGATGATACAGCACTGAATGGGCAACAATATCTTCAAGTGACGTGCCTGCATATACTGGATCCCTACAGCGCTTAGGACATAGCTCAGTTGGTAGGGTAATTGCGTGCTATACAGGAAGCCCTGTGGTCAGTCCCCAGCACTGTATAAACTGCATGGTGACACTTGCTTTTAATCTGAGCGCTAGGAAGATGGATGCAAGAGGACTAGAGTTCAAGGTCATACTTGGCTATATAATGAGCTGGAGGTCATCTTGAACGGCATGAAACCTTGACAAAGAAGAGGAGAAAGAGTTCTACAACTCAACAGACACAAAGAGCATGAACGGAAGGCCAACAAAACAGCTCTGTGGATAAAGGCACGTGCAAGCCTCATGGCCTGAGTTTGATCACCACGGCTCACATTGTGAACAGTGTGAATGTACCCTGAAATTTGTCTTCTCATCTCTACACATGTGCTGTAAGCAAAATGAAAAAATGAAAAAATAAATGTAATTTTTTTTTTCAAGACAGGGTTTTTCTGTGGAGACCTGGCTGTCCTGGAACTCTCACTCTGTAAACCAAGCTGTCCTTGAATTCACAGAGATCTGTCTACCTCCATCCTCCTGAATGCTAGGATTAGAGGTTTGCACCACCATCACCTGGTTAATGAAACTTTTTAAAGGAAATGTCTACAAGATACAAATGGCCAATACGCTCATAAAAAAGGTGTTCAATGTCTCCAACCAACAGGGGAATGCAAATAGAAACTACAGTGAGATATTATACACACTTTAAGGTGACAATAATTTAAAACCAAAAGGCAAATGGAAAGGGTGTAGATGTGCAGAATCTGTTCCTTGCATGTGAGAGTGGCTGGCATAGCAGGCCCTTCTCTCATCTCCCACCTTAGTTATTTGTTTTTGGTTGACTGGCCTCAAAAGCATTTCATCAGCCATAATCCATCCTTTGTCTGTTTCTGCTTTCACCTCTTATAAATAAGCTGCTATGAACACAGGTGTTCACATACACACCTAGAGTGAAATGTTACTTGGCTTCTGAAAGGAAGGAAATGCCAACATGCTGAGTCTTGAAGACATTGGGCCAAGTAAACAAACCAGTCAGAAAATAAAAGGCAACTAGAAGGTGCTTAGAATGATCAAATCCATACAAAAGGGTAATCGAATGCTAGTTGTGGGGAAGGGGCTGAAAAGGTAGGAAATGGAGGGTGTTTTGTTTGGTTGTTTGGCTGGTTGACTGGGTTTCACTAAAACAGTCCAGGAACTCACTCTGTGGCCCAGACTGTTTCCCTCCTAGGACTCCCAAGTACCATAATTACAGATGTTAGCCATGGTGCAGGCTGTGAGTCACTGTTGAATGACTTTAGAATAAACATCTTGGGAATATGAAGAAGTTCTGCGAAATGAATGGTGGTAAATATCCTTGATGCCACTGAAGTGTATGCTTAGGATAGTAAGTGATAGTGTATGTCATGTATATTTATAGGATGTATATTTTACTGGAATTGAAAACAACTTTGTTGTGCGATAGGGTCTTGCTATGCAGCCCAGACTGATGATGTACTCACAGCTCTTCTGACTCAACCTCCTGAGTGCTAGGGTTACTCCAGGGTGTGTGTGTGTATGTGTGTGTGTGTGTGTGTGTGTGTGTGTGTGTAAAACAAGACTGGCCTGATGCATTCTGGAGATGTGTGGGGATTAGATAACTTCTATATAATGTGCAGAACACACGGGAACCAAAACTAATTCTCTTCCATTTCCCAAAGCTGCTAGCTTATTGAATACTCTTCATTCAAACCAGGAGTTAATCCCTTAGACAGGGAAATCATGCAGCTATTTATATTTGATCATGCCGATTTGTTAATATGGATTCCCACTATTTCTCTAAAATGCTGTGAGTTGACACACACACGCGTGCATGCCAGTACTCAAAATCTCAAAAACTAGGAAAGAAGGCTGGGAAGACTCTGGCAGTAGCTCTCCGCAAAGGGGGGGGGGGGGAGAGGAGAGGGTTACCCCCTAGGATACACATCATCTTTAGAGCTGGTTATGTGCTGCCGGGGTTTTATCACTAAGGTTTTCACTGAGGATACATGAAAAGCTGCATCCTAAAGACTGCTTGACTTCTGATATTCCAGATCTGAGCAACGCGAAGCAGTGACCTCCTCAAACCTACAGTGCCTTGGCCCTCCCAGTGTCGAGGTCCCACCGCGGCAACTGCGGAGAGCTCCTCCCGGTAGGCTCTGGACTCCTCTCTCTCCCACCCCATCTCCTTTTTCGGCATCGAGCCAAAGTGCAACACAAGCTGCTCACTCTTTTAGAGAAATCGGGGCACGCAAGAGGTGAGGATCGGCGAGGCGGTCCCTGCAGCTGCTACCGCCGCTGCCGAGGACTGCGGCACGCTGGCTCCGCTAGGTGCCCGCTCACCGCGCGAACAACCTCTTCTCTGTTTCTGCCGGCTGAGTGTGCCAGGCCCCCCACTCCGGGGTGCCTGGGTGCCAGGGTCGGATCGGGTGACTCCGAAGTGCGCCTGCTAGAGGGAGGGCTTGCGGCTGGAGGAGGCGCATCTGGCCCCGCCCCTCCCTATTCCGCCCCGCAGCCTAGCCGAGGCTAAGGTGGCCGGTGCTCGCCAGGCTCCGGGCCAGTCCACCAGCTCAAGGCGCTCTAGCCAGCCATGCGTCCAGGCGCTGCTCCCGCACCTAGGTGGCTGCTCTTGGCGCTGAGCGCGCTGCTGTCTCTGTGGCCAGCAGCCAGAGCCTGGGAGCTCACGATCCTGCACACCAACGACGTGCACAGCCGGCTGGAGCAGACCAGTGAGGATTCCACCAAATGCCTCAACGCCAGCCAGTGCGTGGGCGGCGTGGCAAGGCTCTACACCAAGGTGCAACAGATCCGCAGGGAGGAACCCAACGTGCTGCTGCTGGATGCTGGTGACCAGTATCAGGGCACCATCTGGTTCACCGTTTACAGAGGTCTCGAAGTGGCACACTTCATGAATACCCTGCGCTACGATGCCATGGTAAGGAAAAGGATCCTGGGTTGGAGACCCAGATCCAGAGGGAGGGGCTGGAGAACTCCTAGTAGCCTGGCACAGAAACACTCAGAGATGAGCAAGTGGAATTAGACTCAGGCTAATGTGCAACGTTGATGCAGACGGTGTCCCTTGGATGATTGTCAGTGAACTGAGCGTTTAAAGAGGGATCCTGCCTGCGGGATGCTTGAGCGTGGGTACATTGAAAACACTGGAGATAGATTTCAGATTCCTCCATGTCTCCTATCTGTTTAATCTTTCAAAGAACGTCTCGTCGCTACTTTACTGAAAGGGAAGTAGAATCAAAAATTTTATTCAGGTCACCAGCCACCAAGGGGGCGGGGGACAGATGGACAGACACCACAACCGGATGGATGGCCCTGAAGTTTGAGCACCACAAACTCACCTCCTTAGTTAGGTAGATTTCCAGTGCTGCTACTGGTCTGAGACATTGTGCAAGTTGATTATTGGGCCTCGGTGGCCGAATCTTTTACAAGATGGAAAGAAGTTCTACCTCAAAGCATAGTGTGCACATGATATGATCTCCATAAATGTTAGTTCTTGCTACTCCCAGGCACTGCTACATGGGTTCGAGGAAGAAGAAATGACAGAGGGCACACAAATGCAGGAAAGGTGGCATTTCAAGGGTTCAATAAAACCTGCTTGACTGTAGAGATTCTAGAACAGCCCAACTTGAGGGATAAGGGAGCTGGGGGTGCAGCTGGATTTTTAGAGTGCTTAGGCCCTGGATTGCTCCATAGCATTGCACAAACTAGATATGTGGGGCAAGTCTAGTGGAGGCCAGAGGATCAGGAGTTCAAGGTCATCCTTGGCTACATAGAGAAGTCAGCCTAGGGAACATAAATAAGATCTGTCTCAAAAGGAAGGGGAAGGGGAAGAGAGGGATCTTAAAATGGGAACGTTTAGTCCTCACTTCCCAACACTCTGTTGGAAGTGAGCATTGCTTGTTGAGAAGGGGCAAAGAACAATCAAATAAACAGAACTGAGATGTAAAAACTAATCAGTCCACCACTCACGTTCAACCTAGGTGAATCCCTGGACTAAACGATTCTGTCGGGTTGTAGGGGGAAAATTGAGAACCATCACAGCAAAAATGGAAGAGCTTTGCAAGAGAAATAACAGGGCGGGTTCCCAGAGCTCCCTGAAACCAAAGGGTGTGGGAGGGAAGGGAAGGTGCTCAAGGCTGGCTGCCCGCTGTGTACAAGAACAGCCAGAGGTCAGAGAAGGGGAGGTTCCCTCCCACAATTCTGGCTTAGAGGTTCTAAAGCAAAGGCGGTTCTAATGGCCTCTAAACCTCCAGAGTTGATGAAGGAAGGCATGCTCAGAAGCAGGTTGGCAGAAGAAGAATCGCAGGTCTCAGGAGCTCTGCTGTCTCCCAGCCCTCATTTTCCACAGCTAGGCCTGCTTGAAACTTTGTAAGCCGTGTGGCAGTATAGACATTTACACAATTGGATTGTTAACTAGCTCTACTTCCCCCAGAAGGGTAGGTATGAGTTTGTTTTGATTTCATGTATAAACCATAACTTTGCAGCGTTTACTGTTTCTAACACGCTTTTCTCCTCAGTTGTGCAAATATTCCTTAGTAAAAATATGTCCCTCCTTAAGACAGGACGAGCTCATCGTGCAGCTAGATGAGACCACAGGAGTGTGCTGCAAATCGGAGCTCATCACCCTTAAATGTTTAGAAGACTTTTTTGTGGGATGGAATTGCCTTCTTACAAATTTCCCTTAAGATATTTAGATTGGGGCCTGAAGGAAAATAAGCTACGCCGACCAGTGCTGAGTGGGAGGAAAGGGAATTGACAGAGTCCGTAGCTTTCCGTGGCTGCCATCAGAGTTTATCCTTGGGTGAGTTGACCTGTGCGGACCCCAGCTATCGTAGTGGGCAGCATGCGGCTTGTCTCTGCAGTCTTCCTATCTTCCAGAGGATTTACACTGCCGTTTTGCTTATATTATACTAAGCCTTGGGAGTTTATTGCTTTCCTGTTATATAATTCCCCTATCTCAGCCACCTGCTGTCTTGATTCTGAGATGCTTGGAAACCCCAGATCAGAGTGAACAACCATAGAGAAGTGTCTCCCGATTCCCTGTTTAGTCTCGGAAATTAGAGTAGGATTCTTGGAGATTGTTTGTATTCTCTAGACCTGCCACACTCCCAAGAGAGCTCCTCTATGGCTACAGCAGAGCAGGGTGAGCTTGAAGGACCCTTTGGGCCCTGCTGCGAGGCAGAAACCTGGAAAAGTTGACAGAAGCAGACAGGTGGTGCAGCTGTCTGTCCTAGTGTCCCCTCACTATGAGAAGGAAGACACATCAACATATTGCGTAAAATAGACCAGAGGTCAGGAAAGCCCAGTACTGACTTTTTCTTTCTTTCTTTCTCCTTCTTCTTTAGAAACTAGGAGAAAGGAAGGCAGGAAAAGAATACAAGGAGGCTCAGTTGCTTGGGGATTTTCTTCTTTTCTTCCTTTTGTCTTGGTTATTTTTGAGCCTCATGCTCCTTAGCTGGGAAAAAAGGTATTCACCCCTCAGCCTGTAAGCAGCACGTGTTACAATGAAAAAGCCCTAGCCCCTCACACAGTGAGCACTCACTAAAGCTTAGTTTCCTACACGTTGGGGTTTGGAAGGAAGAGAACATGACATCTGCTAGTCTGACAGCCTAGCATAGACTGACCACAGCCATCAGACCACCCCAGGGCGTTTTTTAACTGTGTGATGTCTAGGGGAGCTTTAGCTTTGGGGGCTATGTGGTTCCCTTGCTTTTGCCGCTCCATTTCCTGCTAAATGTTTGGTTTATGGCTGTGGTGCTCATTCGGCACAGGCTTTCAAAGCAGAACTTCACTTGCTGGTTGGGGCCTGGGACTGAGTTTGATACTTTTTCCTCCATATAAAACCCAGAGAACATGATGCAGGCACAGGTTGTAAATCTCTCAAATGAGGGCCCCCTGAGCAACTGAATGAATAATTATAGTCTTAGAGCTTATTTCCTTGGTTGGTTTGTTTGCTTGCTTGCTTGTTTCAGACAGGGTCTTACTATATAGCCCCTGGCTGACTTAGAACTTGGTGTGTACACCAAGCTGGCCTCGAATTCATACAGATCTGCCTACTTGTGCTTCTCAAGTGCTGAGATTAAAGGCATGCACCACCACACCCAGCCTTCCTCCCCACTGTTTATTTGATTCCTCATTCACTAATAGTAGATGCCCAATGAATACTTCCTCTCTGTTAGACACATTTCATGAACTACAAGGACAAATCAACATACACGTTTTGACTGCTGAGTAATGAGGAGATTGTTTTGACCCATCAGCTGCAACTCAGAGATTAAGAAAATAGAAGAGTTTGCTAAACTGTTTGAGAGTACTGAGAGTCCTTTAGTGGATCATCAGGTGACCACTGACTTCTGTCTCCTCCTTCAAACTGCAGAGCAGCTTGGAGCTTAGGCCATGCTCCCCAGGGAACATTCTCACAATCTCCTCCACTCATCCATTTATTCAACGCCAACTAGAGCGTTTGTATATGGGTGAATTGATGCATGGCACTCCTCCTGTAGCCGCTGGTGCAGTGTGGGCAGCATTGGCAGCATCTGAATATGGCTGCCAAATGGGTTCAGAGAAGAAAAGTCAGAAGAGCCTGTCCTTATTTAAAATTATGCCTCTAGCATTTATTGCTGGCTAAAAGTACACTTTATTATTTATAAATATATCTCATGCTTATATTACTGTCTTAGCAAAAAGGAGTGAAAAATGACATCTCTGGTTGGTTGACAGTTGTTCCCTTCTTTGCTGGGTTGAGGGAGTGCCAGAGGCTTGATCGGAATTCATTAAAAAAGATCCACTCAACCCATTAATAGGTGTCTGCCACAGACAAGGAAAGGAGCACATTATGTTTTTTGGTATTTGTTTATACTTCAACTTAAAGTGGGGATGAGCTACCTCCCATTTCATTGGTATCCAAAAGTTAATAACTGAATATGGCTTGGATTCTCTCACCATATAGTATATTGGAAATAAATAAGTGAATACAAATGTGATGACTTCATAATTATCTATAGTCTTCTCTGCATATGTGCATTGCTTTTCCCCAGAAGGAAAGAAAGTATCGTTGGCTTATAACAGAATACATGAGAATCCCAAGCCAAACTTTAGGCATAACTTTTCCATCTCCCCTAATTACGGGGTATTTTTAATAACCATCAGAAGCCTTCAAATAGCTTCATTCCTCTGTTGCTAATTCACAGGACTCTCTGAGCCTTACCTACAGAAGCTTCTTCCAAGGCCAAAGGGCTTTTGCAAGTCCCCCCAGCCAGTGTAAATACATCATACCTACAGAAGGCAGGAGAAACAGGACAGTATTCCTCAGTCTATTTAGCAGCCCTGAAATACTGAGCCACAGAGGAATTGAGTCCTCTGTTCCTAACATTTTCATTTATTTGTGACTTCAAGTGGCAAGTAGAGTTTTCAGGTGTTGGGATGTCAAACATTCCAGGTGTCTTAGCCAGTGTTCTATTGCTGTGAAGAGACAACTTGACCACAGCAACTCTTACAAAGGAAAGCATTTAACTGGGTCTACCTTACAGTTTCAGAGGTTTACTCCATTATCATACAGCGATCATGGTGGCACGCAAGCAGACACGGTGCCTGAGAAGGAGCTGATAGTTCTATACTCATGTCCACAGGCAGCAGGAAGAAGAGAGTGCCACTGGGCCTGGCCTGGGCTCTTGAGACCTCAAAGCACCTCCCCACACACCACCAGTGACACACTTCCTCCAATAAGGTCATACCTACTCCAACCTCACCTCCTAATCCCTCTCAAGCAGTGTCGCTCGATATCTGATGATTAGCATTCAAACGTATGAGCCAATGGGAGCCACTCCTATCCAAATCACCACACCAGGACAGATGGAGGGTGGACAAAATGTCTTTCTGTTAGATCGTCAGTTCTTTTCCTTGTAGGTGCTTTCCTCAAAA